CACACGACACGACACGACACACGACACGACACACGACACGACACACGACACGACACACGACACCGACACCGACACCGACACCGACACCGACACCGACACCGACACCGACACCGACACCGACACCACACGACACCGACACCGACACCGACACCGACACCGACACCGACACCGACACCGACACCGACACCGACACCGACACCGACACCGACACCGACACCGACACCGACACCGACACCGACACCGACACGACACGACACACACACACACACCTACCTGACTATTCTGCGTCTGGTGAGGAAGAGAAGCGGTTTGGCATTTTGCTCCGTCCCACATACTTCTCTGGTAGTAATACTTAGTATCATTCTTTAAGCAACTAACTACAGGAAATCCAGCAAATTAGACCTTCAAAATATATCTTGCTCTTCACAACTTGACAAGATTTGGTCGGGTCTACGTCGTGTCCCGCCCCAGCCCGAATGAGAGGGGAGGATTGCTTTATTTGTTGGCACCCCTGTATCAGCGACTTTCTCGACAGCGCCGCATGGCAAGGGCGCCGGTGCGAGTTTAAGCTCACAATGGGGTGAACGATGCACCAACGAAGCGTCCGTAGCTGTGTGCCTGCACGAAGGTCGCACAGTACTCAAGAAACGGCAGGGTTAAACATACATCGTCTTGTTCTGCTTGGAAGGCCTTGGATGAGAGGACAGGCATGCAGAACCCACATGCCTCTTGCCGCGTGGTTGACATTGCCTGTGGGGCACGAAGGTTTTGACCGCCCGTTGTGTTGCAATTCGGCCGTACGCGTACTCGCTATGAAGTGAATCCGCTATGAAATGCCTGGAACAAGGCTCTGTTGCCGATACCAAGCGAAAAAAGCCGAAGCCATTTTATAGCGGCGGTCATATTGCTCGTCGATTGAACATTTTGTCGAAGTTCATATCAGAGGTGGAAATGTGTAGGCCGGCAGAGGGCCATCAACAGATCTGCCAACGACCATACTGTCCAAAGCTTCGATGCTGAGTAAGTTCCATACATTCACCGTGGACAAGATTCGTCTGAGCACGTAGAAATCAAGGCCTGCCAGCATCCAAACTAGACTGGACTCTAACTTTGTGAGCTTCCGGCCCTTCGACCCGCCTACAAGCTCTGCAAGTCCAGGCCTTTGAACCTTGACAGCAACCTGTCTGCACACTGGTCGGTGTAGGGATACAAGATAACCCGGCCCCGGCCTCGGTTCCGTCAGTGAGTGTGCCCCGATACACCTGCAAGGTTGTGACTTGCTCTTTCGCACCTCCTGTGACACCCGCCATGGCCAGGATATGCCAGCATATTCTACCAGTGTTGCACATGAGTCTCTGGACGCTGGCAAGCTTAGACTCTCTTTTCAGAGCTTGCCCAAGCCTGCGCCAACGACGCTGCCTTGCCGCTGCGGCAGATCCACTCATCGTGAGCTCACGCTGCATTCCATCTCTGTTAAAATGAGCACTGAAGGCGCTGCAGCCACCGGCTCTTCCGTCAGAGAAGAGAAAAGTGGTGCACTTTCACCAGGGTGCTGTAGTTGCGCACCTGCAAATTGAACACACTTTACTACGCTGAGCTACTTCCTACACCTCTGCGTGTGGACATGGACTGTTGTAGAGTGAAGTCCGTCACCTTCCATGCTTCGACTCCTGAGTCGTGCGCGTGTGCCGGTACCAACTTTGCGTGTAGCGCACCAAGTGCTTGGCGCAGCAACGGGTCCGTCCCAACCAAATTCCTTGCAGTTTCCGCGAAGTCTCCGAAAACCATTGACGGGTCAAGGCTGCAAACTCAACGGCACAGGCGAGTTTAAAGTTTAGCTGTATTATCGCCATGACTCGGGAAGCATCCCATGAAACTGCAGCTGTTCCCGACATTATGTCTTATTAGAGCATCCGCAGGTATCCACCGAGAAAACCGACACAGCAACCCAGAGACAGCAAAGACTCAAAAAGCCTGTCTTCGAAGGAACTCGGAAACCAATAGAACGGGGGTCTGTGACACAATCGGGAAAAGCACCGACTGAGTACATCCGCAACTCGAAGCGATAAACAGCTATTTTGAGGAAGCTAACGACAGGAATGCCGAAAAGTTCAATAGCAGAGAGATGAACAAGTCGTAGGAACCCCTTTAGCTGCGCTCCCAACTGCAGCTCACCTCAAAGAGGACCCGGCCGAAAAACATGCTAAACTTCTGGGCGCAGGCTCGCTTTTCCCGTCGGAGCATGGAGCCAGCTGAAGTGGGCTAAAGTCGGCTTCCCCTCACAACCAAAGGTGGCATGCTTGACACCGATAGACAGGCGGATACTTTCGCAGAGTGCTTTGAAAAGACTCAATGGGCCGTCCGTCCGTCCTGTCAATGCCCATGTCGGAAATCGCTCTGGGGCACCCGTTTACGCTATTACTATCGACAAGATTTACACTATTACTATCTTTTTTTCTGCTATTACTTCTCTTTGTCCGGCATTATTGAGCATACTGACCCCAATCTCATGTGACGAGAAAGCTCGCAAAGCTGGATGGGGGGTACCTCCGGTGTTTTTGAAGAGCATCTGCGATGTGAGCTCTCCCACGTTTTACTGGATGTGGCAAATCGCACACGATCCACATCTGGAATGTGAGAACTGCGGACCAGCTTCTCTGTTGACCAGTGATTCCTTACAATCCTTACAAGCTATGTGCAGGATCGGAAGCAAAAATGACTCACACGCCGTTTGACTTCCGGTCTAGACGTGTCTTCTGGTAGCAATCCGAGGCACCAGAGAAAGTGCCCAATGATCAGCAACTGCAGAGCACACGATGTTCTTTTGCTGCTGCGTCCTCGCTGCGCCTTCACGGCACAATCACGTAGCATGAGCTCCGAAAGGAAAATTGGCAAAAGGGGTCCCTGAGCCACCAGTGGCAGCAGGAAGGATGGCATCAACCCCTCAGACTGTACACGCAAGCTGGCTGAGACTGATTTAAGCACAGACAAACACACGCCCAAAGAACTATTGATAAAATCGTTTCTGCTGTCGAACACGCTTAGCACTCGTGAAAGTACGATCATAAATCAGCCGCCACTTGCCGAGGGTTAGAAAGGCATACAGAGACCCTGACGGATTCGGCTTCGTCAAGGCATCAGCTACCTGAGCATCGCTGTGCACCCACCGAACTTCCGTGTCTGTCATCTGCAGTCTTTCAAGCAAGCTTAGAGCTTCTAAGGCCGTATACTTCTCTTTCAGGCCCCCAGCAGCGGAGTTCAGATCCTTCTTGTGTAGCAGATCATACAGACTCCTGGCATCTGTCACGACGATGCCCTTCACTTGCTTCGCTGCTTCTGCTGGCTTGCGAAGATCGATCTCATGCCCGCACATCTCTCTCCACTGCACGCGGAGATACATGAGTTCCTCCTCGGCCTCGCTGCACGCCTGAGTTTCGGCACTTAACGAAGATCTTGCTACGCGAGGAAGTTTTCCCGATCTCCAGGATACTGGCACCATCCTGCACACGTCACCATCGGCCACGCTGGGAGTTGTTGCTGCCACGATATATCCCCCAGTGGATCCTAGATCCGGCCGGTTACCGACAGCAGCATCGCACCAGGCGACGAAGGTGATTTCATCTGGTTCCACCTGAAGATCTGGAATCTTGATGCACATGTGTCGCTGTGCATACACCTCCCTGGAAAGTTTGTTGGCCGCTTGCAGCGTAGCCACAGTGGCCTTGCTCGTCTGTGACTGAAGCATGCTCAGGTCGCCATGTGCTGAGGGGCAGTGGAGTAGGCGCGCCACTGAATGGCTCCCAAAACTCCACGCAGCTGCGTCACCTCTTCAGGCGACGCAGGCAGGTTTTCGTCCCTCTTCTCGAACTGCACCTGGTCGATGCTTGCACAGTAGTCGCCCTGCTCAAGGATCACTTCATCTCTGGCCTCTTTCACACGCACACCACAATGCATGTATTCATTGGTCTCCCATGGTGACCAACGAAATCTGGAGTAGAACTTTGACAGAGCCTCCATCCACAACTCGTTGTTCTCATCGCCGCAGACCAAAAAATCGTCTACGTGTGCGATGATGATGCCGAGCAGCACCTGTCGTCCCTCTGCCGTCGTTGTTGTCAGCCGCCATCCGCAAGGTTCTGTTCGTAACCTCTCGAATCCAAGCTTTGACAACTCATGATGCACAGTTCTGTACCATTCTGCCGGCGCGTTGACGAGGCCGTACGCTGCCTTCTGCAGCTGAACTGCTGCCCAAGGTGGCACACCCAGTCGTCGAGCCAGTTCTGGGGGAGCCTTCGCGTAGATGCCTCGGGCCAGCTGCGATTCGTTGCCCTGAAGAAAAGCCGCTTTCATGTCACCCTTAAGCCTTAAGCGACTGCCATCCTTTGACCTTCGTGAGCAAGATGAGCTGACGATGGTTTCCAGGTCAGGGTCCTCGAATCCTCGAAGCCAACGACAACCAGTCTCGCCTTCGGTGCATGAGTCTCGGCCTTCCAAGTCAAGATCCACCTCATGCGCATGATGCGGTCTTCAGGGATCACACCAGTTGCTTTTCTTGCAGCTGCCTCGCGAATCCACTGGTCGACTTCAGCTTCTTTCGCCTTGTCGAATCCTGCCCTTTCATCTGGCGTCAGCTTCTTGTAGTCGACCTCGGTCTTTCGCATCCCTTTTAGCATCCATGTCGTCGCGTCTCTGTTCATCTTTTTCCACTCCGTCGTCTTCTCTGGAAGAGGCACTTCAATCTTGCACATGTAGAGATCTTCGGCACGAAGATCATCTACAAAGCCCTGCATCTCTGCGTCACCGTGCTGGCTAGATTGCAACACATGCCATGGTCGATCAGCTTGTTCAAGTCGCATTCGAGCCTGCTTGAAGCGCTGTTGTTTCTCCAGCTCGCCTGGACCAGAAGACAAAGCTCGACGCTCCATGGCACGCCTAAACAAATCCGGCTCATAGCCAGGATCTTGAAGGTACCTAGTCAAAGTAAAACGATCAGGGGCATCAGAACTACCAGCGGACCTAGTGTCCATACGAGTGCCCGCAGTGGCTGCTCTTGATTTTGATGGTTCTTCTTCGGGGATGCCCGCAGTGGCTGCTCTTGATTTTGAGAGTTCTTCTTCCTTGGGGATGCCAGCAGTGGCTGCTCTTGATCGGCTCTCTGGCTCTTCATCCTTTCTTGTGGGCTGCCCAGGCTCTTGCATTTGTTCTTTGGGATCTCTGGCAGGGGTCCTGGATCTCGGGGCCCGGCTAACCTGTCTACGTGAAACTCCCTTGCTTCGGTCCTCTGGAAACACGTAGTCATCATACAGATCGAAGTTGCCGGCCTGAAGTCCTTGGACCAAGCTGTGGAAAGTCCATCCTGGCGTAACCTCATGACTGGCACTTTCAGCTAAGATTGCCTCTCGTTCAGGAGCATGCCTCAACTGATCCGGTGAGCATCTCTTGAGACGCCCTGCACTGACAATCCAGACTACATGTCCTGGTCGCAGGGTCTAGCCGTCATTCCTTGTCTCGGAGGCAATGAACCCGGCCTGGACCGTACCATCGGCCCATCCCTGACTTTGGAATGCTCAGGGTTGGATGTGCAGGGCGATCAGCTGGAACCTTCTCCCGGCGGTAGTAAACTAAGTCCCCAGGCAAGAACTTGCGCTGCGGTCGTGTGCGCATGTTCAGAAGCCTGCTGAGCTGTGAGCTGGCTTGTGACCTCCGATACGCTTCCTCCGCTTGCATCCGGAGGTTCAAACTCTGCCCAAAGCCATGTCTCCCACTCACTTGGCTCTGAAGAAGAGGAAGGTTCTGTTCGGACTCAAACAACCTTCCCTCAATGGAAAAACCACGGCCAAACACCCACTGTGAAGGAGAGAAACCCTGTCGCCGATGTAAAGTACTATGCGCAGCAACAACATTCACAATGGCACGGTAGGGGTCCATGATCTCTCCATGCAGTAGGGGTCATCGCATGGGCCTTGATCTTCCCAATCAAGGACTCTACTTGGCCAGTTTGATGATGGGCCTCACCTGGATTGGGTAGCACTTCAATCTCTTCGAGCTCGTACTTATCCCATTCAGGATCAGGAAGAGGAGGCTCATCATCTTCTCCATCGTCATCTCGTCCTCGTCGATATCCGCGAGGTGAACGATCTTCTTGCCACCAGCCACGATACCAGGCCTCCCATTCCTCAGCAGACCAAGTTTCATTTCCACGGCGACTGTGTGTTCCAGTCGTCCGCTCATCAGCAACGCGGGGTCCAAGCTCTTCGTCTTCCTGAGGAACTGGGTCATCGGGACGTTCGGCATCCTCGTCAGGCATCTCAAAACCGGGGTCGGGTTCCAAGGCAGTCGAACTCCTCCTTCTCGCCGACGGAGTCCCCATTCTCGAACCGGTAGTCGAGGATGTCGCCTTCTTCTTCTTTAAGGTGGGTGATGGAGTCGGAGAAGAGCTCGGCCGCGCAGTGGTCCTTCCAGCTCTCGCCCGTGCCAAGGCACGTTGAAGCCGCTTGTAAGCATCACGCAACTCTACAGACGAATGAAGAGATCCTCTAGGCGGCTGCCTAGATCGGGAACTGGTGTTCGGCCTAACTTTGATTCGAGATAATCAAGGAGGTATGCGGCGCCGTTGCGCTCCTGTAGCTTGCCTGCATCGAGTTCTGTACTCACCTCCCAGGCACGTCCGGTGAGTCTCGATGCTAACGATGCCCCCAGTAACGAGCGCTTCTTTTCCGGTGTCTTCATCCACTCCAGTCTGACACGGCGAACATAGTCTAGCCATGTTCCTGGATTTCCATCCCATCCAGGAACCTGGGACTGCATCATGCTCCCCACGTCGGCTCTGGTCTCCTGAAGCACCGGTGGGCCCAAGCTTGCACACTCAGACGGGGATCTAGCGGATAGCAGTGGCAGCAATAGGTCCCAGGAGCCAAGTCCCTCTCTTGGACAAGGCTCCGCTACCAATTCTGGTAGCCATCCAAGGCACCAGAGAAAGTGTCCAATGATCAGCAGCTGCAGAGCACACGATGTTCTTTTGCTGCTGCGTCCTCGCTTCGCCTTCACGGCACAATCACGTAGCATGAGCTCCGAAAGGAAAATTGGCAAAAGGGGTCCCTGAGCCACCAGTGGCAGCAGGAACGATGGCATCAACCCCTCAGACTGTACACGCAAGCTGGCTGAGACTGATTTAAGCACAGACAAACACAGTGTCATAGTGGGTGCGTTTTGTTTCTTTTTGCGAAAGGGGAGTGCTGCTAAAGAAGCAACGTGGAAGGTTGGGTTTTCTTGGCGCTGGAGGTCGAAAGCCTTCAGCAGCATGCATCCTCAATGCTTGAGTCATGCCCTTCTGCACCGTGGTTTGCCAGAAAAGCTTCGCCGAGTGGCAAATGCGATTTTCAGACACAGACTTACAGTCGGTGTTTTGGAAGCAGTCTGGCAGTCCAAGAGTTGTCCGCTTTCGCGCTTAGTTTGAATATTTATATTGGTTGTGTGCACATCGCAGGCGGCCACACTCGACTGCATGGCTTCTGCCGCACGCGCAGAAACTAATGAGGATCACTGCCTTTATCGAGGTGGACTAAGCTCTTTTCGAACTGGACATAAGTTAAGCATGCAAAGTGGACGTCCTTTGGAAGTGTGCGAGTACAGCACTTCCGGCACGCCAAGTGTATGAAAATCATCCTTAATATACTTGGGCACTTAGCTGCCGCTTAGCGGAACCAAAGCTGGTTTCGCTGCACATGCGCGCCTGTGGAAACATTCCAGCATCCCTGTCAACTGAAGACCGAGATGAACCATTGCAGTGACACAAAGCACTGACAGCGAACATTTTCGGATAAAGCTGTGTAAAGTGACTTTATGGGCATTGCCGAAGCCACAGTGCACTCACATCAGTCATGCCTCCATGAAGCTTTGCCTGGCCTCGCGAATGGTCTGCATGGCAACATTGTTTGAGAATTGGCCCATGGCGTCCTGGCATTTGGCTGCTAGAACGCCAGTGCTGCTAGACTACATAGTCGGTGTAAGTAGCACCAGTGCGCTTACCCACTGTCACCACTTGCGTCCTGCAGTAGCCCCAACTCTTTGCCGAGCTCTTTCGTGACCAAGTCTGAACGCGTGGCCATCGTCTGCGCCAGCCTAATCAGCAAGGCCATCAGCTTTTGGGCGTTTCTCTGAGGCTTTTGCGCAGAGGGTCGGCTTGCCCCAACTCCCTAGCCTTCATTTCATGGTTGAAAACGGGTGTGAAACCTAACCATCCGCCAGACCTGCCCTCGAGTCTGAAACCGCTTGCGGAGTTGAAGACTTTCCGGAATGTTGGAAGGGGTGGCCAGAGGGCAAAGGGACCCCATGCAACAGCTTGGGTTTAGGTGCGCTGACACTGAACGAAGACCGAAAAGGCAGCCGGCGCTGGTGCTGCATGTAGTCTGCCTTACCTTGCCTAGCTCAGCTGTCTCTGATGGACGAGGCCGGGCGCCAGCAGCCCTCACAGATCCTAGAAAATCCTAGGAGCTCAAGCGCCTCTGCAGGCACCGTCCTGCCGTTTGCGCTCTGCCTAGCTTCTACAATCGTAGCGTCCTAGCTCCGCTCACTCTCAGAAGCAGGCTTGACAAAAACTGTGCCGAGGCTCGCCACCTGCGGCAGAACACAGTAAAGCGAGTTAGGCACATGCTTTGCATGGCTCTGCAGTGCCTGGGATCGCAGATGCTGCCCTCGCACTGCAACCGGTAAATTCGAATCCTAGCGAGATTTGCTGAGTTTTGCCAGCATGTCGCAAAGCAAATGCAGCCTGCTTCGAACCTGCCAAGCAGTGCGAGCAGCGTTGATGCGGGACAAGACCTGAGCAGACAGCCAACGATGGTGCGGTCTCGGAGACGACTCGAAGCTAACGCCTCGACCAGCCGTCCGAGCGCTCGGAAGGGATCGGAGCCGAAGTACCTTTCGCAAACATGCTACACAGTGCGTCAGGCTACCACACTCGCACGAAACAAGATAAGCATGGCAGGGCGATCACTCGTCTAGTGCTGGTCCATCGTACTTTCCAGCAACAGGCAAGCGAGCAACATGTCTTCCGAGGCCTCTTGCGCAATCTGCAGCAACTGCTTCGGTTCGGTCAGCTGGCTAACAACATGCCGCCGGGCCTCTGCGGGTTTTCCGTCTGTACCTGTCTAACACTATCCAATTACATTAAAGACTGGTGGCGGGATCGCCACGACTAAGCCCTGACAATGTTGTGACCCCTAGCCTCCATCTGCGAACCAGCGCGCAGCTCATCACGACACCCAGCTGCGTTGCCTGATAATCCTGATATGAAGCGCAAGAAGTGAAGATTTGGCGAAAGCCTTTGCCTGCCTGTCCACATCGTGCTCGTTGTGCGAACAAGCCACTGCACAACATCCTGGAATGAACACACATCCCACTGTCATCGGCAGGCCTGCCACTTCAACAGCAGTCCCGGAATAGGAAGACTGCGGTGACACGAAGTCCGGCAACAAATGGCTCGCGGACCTGCGCAGCCGCCAGGAAAAAGGCACTGCTGTCATCATCCCCACATCCTACCGAACACCGGTTGCAAAACGACTGCGTGTGGGCGGCACTTGCATCGAAAGGGCTGTATTGCCCTGTGAAACTGGTCTGTGACGAACAGCAGCCTCCTTTGTGCTTTGACAAGTGAAACAAGCCTGCAAGTGCACAGTATCTTTAGCTGAAACAGGACACTTGCAGAATTACTTGGGCAGGTCGAATGCCGTACATGCGGCCTTGCTGATGTTACTTTGCTCTCTCTCTGAGACCAAACTCGCGAAAGAAGAATGCAAAAAGTAAGACGCGGCACGAATCGAGCGCAGAAACTTTGAACAACTACAGAATCCAGCAACATAACAACATGGAAAAGGCAGGAAACGACAGTCGCAAAAGCATGACCACAAGCCACGATAAAACTGCGGTGTACACAAGCACGGTGGTGCTCGCATTCGTGCGCCTCTCGTTGTTGCATGTGCAACTTCCTGCATAGAAGTGAAAAGCTCAAGAGCATGAGTTTGGAGTGAATTTAATATAATGTAATCCATGCTTTCGCGGCCAGACCAAATCTCTCGAGTTCCATCTTGTTTTGCTTTTCGTGCATTTCGCCACAGCAGGAGCGTTGTTTTGAGAGGAGCTCGAAAACAAAAATTTGTTTTGTCTTCACTTGCTGAAGCCGTTGCTCAAAGCTTTCGCAGCGCTGTAGCGGCTCCAGGCCACAGAAAGCACAGCGTGCACTGTCTAACTCCCCAGCCTCTTTAGCATGTAACCCGAGCCTGTGGCTCGCTCAGGAAGTCACCAAAGTCAACACACCACCTCTCGGGCCGCCAGCAAATCAGTGACGCTTTGGGCCAAATTCTCGTCGTTCACACAATGAGAAACCCTCAGACGCAAGTCAGGAGGAGCAGCCTGCTCGGAAGAGGCCTTGGGAACAGGTGTGAGCGAGGGAACCGCGGCAAATAGGCGATGCCGAAATTCCGGCCAACAAGCCCACGCAGCATTTGATATGCCGGCGAGGAAAATGGCAAAGGTGTAACATAGCGAGCCGGCACAGTGACCAGTAGAAGCAAACAACCCCTACCCTCAAGTACGTGGGTTGAGCCCTGGTAGCAACCCCAACCCACAAGCATCTGGAAAGTTTCTGGTCAGTTTTGAGAGGCGGCACTGCTTTGTTTTGGGAGTGTGTCATGTGTTATATTGAAAACGTTGGGAGGTGCTTTCTGGTTTGGTGGCGTCTTGGCTGGCAAGACCAAATTGCGCACGAACGCGGGTCCCAACACAACCAAAAACAAAACAGAAAAGCAAAACCTAACAAAAACGGCGAGAGCAAGAAAGATGAAGAACAAAACTGACGAGTCCACGAATGTCAATCCACCGAAGTCGTGGACAGACCACTTGTAAGTAATGGCTGCCTTTTGCCATGTCTCACCTCCACACAACCTCCGCAAACTTCCAGCTGCGGTGCTTGACATTTTAGATCCGGCCAGATGAATGAGACTCAAGTCTAACCTATACGCAACCAAATACCTGTCAAAAAACAAGAGCACAGGCCAAAAACACATAGGCCAGCCGGTCACTCGTCGGCTCAGTCCAACTCATTCATGTCTGCCACCTCCTTCCATGCATATCCATGCTTTGCTGCAGATGCAAACGTGCCGGCTCGACAGCATGACATGACTTGGCTACTGCACTCTTGTGCCATGTCATCCTTGCCGTCTTCTTCGTCGTATCTTTCCGTCCTCCTCTTCGTCCATCTTCCTCCTCCTTGCCCTTCTCCTACTCTCCCTCCTACTTCTCTTTCTGTTCATCTCTTCTTTCTGGGCATTGAGCCTCCGCTTGCGCACCCAGCGCATTTGCAGGTCTCCTCCAAGTCACATCATACCAGCTACTTCGCGAACATCCACAGGAGGGATCGCCTGTTGAGGACCTGTCGCCCTCGCCGACGGCATGTACCATAGCGGCATCCAGAAGCTTCGAGGATATCCAAGCATAGTCCAGTCCTCCAAGCAGCCATTCCAAGAGCTGAGCTGGCTTGCAAGGGAACAACGCGCACAGCGTTTCGTGCGTCATGGCATTTGTAAAGTGGCAATGTGCGAGACGAGGCCGATCAAGGCGTCTTGGACCATCTGGGGATGTGGCCCGAACTCTGCCGCAAAATCCTGCGGCGCATGCTCACACACACACACACGAAGCGAACGAAGGCTTCCTCAAGACTCAATCTGTCCATGGATGTCTGCCCGTTGTTGTTCACGGCAGCTGCTCCCACTGTAAACCTGGTCGTGTGTACCACTCGAACAAACTGCATTGCGAACATCTCTGCCGCCTTGGGCAGGCCAAGATCATCTTGCAAATCTCCTCCTCGTCATTCGCAGCCGCAATGTGGAGGGCCGTAGAGCCGATTCCGTTCCTGGCAGGCATGGCCTTGTGAAGTTCGGGGCCTCTCGGCCCTGCAAAGGCTTATGCGCTCCTGGAGTTGACCTGCCCGAAATCGCTCCTTGCCAGTAAAGCACGGCAGGCCTGCCCCAAGCGGCCAAAGTGGTCACACAACGAGATGTTCGACCGATTGTAAAACTGTGCCTGCACATGCCCCTCGGCAGCTATAAAATGCAGGGCACTGCCCACACACTCGTCGCCTCAGATCATCAGATGATGGACGTTGCACGAAATGCAAAGAGCGTGCAAGAACAAATCACACATGTGCACATACTCGCACAGAATGTCTAAGGCTAAGGTCGAAGCTAGCATTCACTATCTCGGAGGTAGCCGATTCCACGGCTCGCAACGCAGCCTGCCAAAGACAGCATTCTCACAGCGACGGGTTCGGACATCTGTTTGTGCGCAACATGAAGACACACAGTTCTAGCCCTAGCTGTGTCTCGCCAATTATCCGGCATCTTCGTTTGCGCGCCTGGGAATCAGAGCTCTGCACTATTTCCAGGAATTCCTGCAGGCTCTATATCTGCACTAACAGACTCTATTTCCATGCTACAGCCTGCAGCTTACAGAATGCACTGTCGATGCATGCACTCCAGCATTTCCTCCTGTAGTCGCTCTAAATCCTCCGAGTCCTGTCTGCTGCACGGCCGAAGAGCTCAAGACAAACGAGACTGACGCCTTTGGTTTCTGCTATTGGTAGCATGTCAGTGTCAGGCCTCGCAGTTTTCTGCAGGTCGCAGCACTGAGCCCGGAAAGCTGTTGCCGAGGATCTGTGCGAGCTCCTCCTTGCTCGCACTGCAACGCGTCAGCGTCAGTGTGCTGTCCCGCTGGCAGGTCTCAGCCTCCGAAACGGAACGAGCAGCCTCCTGACCACACCGTCTTAGAATGATGCATGGCTTTCGACTCAGACTGCTCCATAGGAACGACAAGGTCACAACCTGCCTCCAGTCGGTGCACCTCTCCAGCTTCACGGTTTGCAAGAAGGGTATCTCTGTACCTTTCCGGTACAGTGGGGCCGTCGCTCTGACACTAGTCACCAGTCACTTGTCGATGCTCCCTCGAGACACTCAAGGGGCAATTAATGCACTGTAGAATAAGAGCTCCCACCCCCAAGCTGTCTGATTGGCGAGGCCTGCAGCCTTGCCCGAGTCTCTGCCGCAAGTTGCGAAGCATCCGCACGATGCCCGCTAGACAGCCTGGTCAATTGACCAGCTTTGCCCAGCTTTCAGCCCCCGGGCACAAAGAGAAGTTGCATTAACTCATCGAAGCCATGCCACCACAGCCACTTAGCATGGACATGAGTGCATGGGCCACCCATGAATGCTCGGTCCGACGATTTTTACAGTTTCCCTACTGCTGATGCTCCTGGGCTCGTCGATTAACAAGCATGCGTGACGGAAACTTCACCCATTGCATAAACCTCTGAGCATCTACGACAACATGTGCTGCTGCCTACCATGGCACATTGACAAAAACTGTTCAGCGTAGAACCAAAGTCTGGCAGGCCTGCACAACATGTCAAGAGTTCTTCAAACGCTCCAAACACGGCGAACGACTCATCTCAAGAACAATCGACGGAGCAGGTCGCGGTTCGTACCGCGAGGTGACCACACCGTGGGCCTCTCCACAGCACTCTCCTATAACTCTGCTCTAACACTCTCATAACTTGCATGGCAAAAAGGCAAGCCGAAAATGTAACCTGCAAGCTTGCTCGACATGCTGATGCTCCAAAAGGCATGAGGCAGGCACTCGTGTTGACACGCCATGGCTCACAAAGGCCATTGCTGGAAGTCTTGACGAAGTCTTGTGCTGGGACACTGGGACAACACTGGTTGCGTGAACTTGTACTTGTTGAGGGCTTGCAAACACTTCTTGCGTGTAGCATGGTGCATAGCCTACACGAGAAGTGGCTGGTCATCACAATTGAGGGTTGTTGCGAGCTCTCACAGGAGCTTCCGCGCAAACAAGGTTAATCTGTTCGTGTAACTGGTAATGACCTGGTAATGCCTAGCTCATGACCCAACCAAGCACAAAAAGCTTTTCTGAATCAGCAAGCTCGTTTCACAAACTATCGTCTGCACGGTGTCCAAGCAGCCAGTGGCATCTGCACTACTGTCCCTCACTAGCATTTTCATATGTCCGACGTGTTTCACGTCTGAAAGAGGACGAAGCAGCGAGAAAACTGTGCAACGGAAAACGGTCAAAGGACCTTGCACTCAAGAAGCCCTAGAAGGCCGACAACTTAAACTGCGGGGGAAGCTTCAAAGCCCCCGGCTGCTTTCCACAACCAGCCTCTGACTGTCCAACCGCAAGCACGACGCACAGCACATCACTGAGCCAAACGTTTCAACTCAGATCATGCGAAATCTCAAGTATGCCCGTTAACGCCAAGCAGCAGACCCTCGTAGAAGTACCGCACGATTTCCTTGACAATGCCGTCTATGCTTTGTTTTGTCTACCACGCTGACTGCTTTCTTGCGATACCGTCGTATCCAACATGCAGCTGGCTCTTCAGCGTAACCCAAGTGGCGCTCTCCAGCAAGCTTCCTTGGACCTGTCTGTCATCATGACTGATTGAACCACCAGCCCCGCCCCGTCTGCAGGCGTCTGAACAGAGAACTTGATGAAAGAACAAAGGTTTCAAGACGAAGATGGAGGACCTTTCAGAACGACGATCAGGACAGTGCAGCTGTCTCTGGTTTTTGTGGCTTCCTGGGTCGAGCCGGCTGTTTCTTTGAACGAGTATGTCGGTACTTGTCGTGTTTCCCGCTTTTGTCGTCTCTGGAAGGGTATTTGGTTGGCTAGCTGGGGCAGCTGGTGCGCAACGATTTTTCCGGCGGCAGGGCCGGTTTGCGCCTATCAGGTCCCACGCAAAAGACACCAAGTCCGAATCCAGATCGCACAAACAGCAAGCACAAGTGCTGCAGCCACCTGGGCCATGTTTGCAAAGCCTGAGAACAGAAAGCGTGAAAGATCGTGTCTGTTCCAAGAACGAGCTGGAAAGATATTGAAAGTCCCACAATGCCTCACAAAAGCTTTCTGAGTTGGCACTTCTTTTTCTTCTCAGATCACACCCGCAGTCGAAGGCCGGGCCAACGAGCCCTTTGACAGTCAGGTTCGATAAACATGAAACATGACATAATGCCGCCCACATCCACCTCCGCGGTCACTGTGATGGAATTTTCAGAATGCTGCCACCGCGCAGAGATGTCCACGAACACGCGATGGTAAAAAATCACCCTGGTACGGTACGGCGTGTCTTGCCTCTTCGATGGACCACGTGAAAGAGAAGGCTGAGTCTGCTAGATATTCGTGCCTGAATATATTTCCCAGCTGCGTGTAAAGGACGGAGCCAGCCAAGATCCTTCCAGTCGCAGTTCTGGAGGAACGCTACGCTCCACAAACACTGTCGGAACCAACGGCTGCGGGAAAGACTCGCACATTGAAGTGCAGGCCCCTTGCATCACGCTGAGCACGAAGCTCTTGCTTCCCCACCACTTGTCAAATGCATCCCGGTCCGTCCAGGCACTCATGCTGATGTAGTTTACCTTGCGACAAGCTCTAGGTGCAAAATGGCCTCCAAAACATCACCAACCATCACTCATCCAAAACACATCGTCATCGGGCACTTGGTCTCGCCGCAACAGTTGGAAGAACTTGAATCCCTCGGCCTGCGGATGAAGCGCAGCAGATCATAGCAGCAGAAGTCGTGGTCAAGCACTCTGCATATCTCACTAATTGAACTTGAACCTCAAGTCCTTCAGAGGCTTTGATTCGGGCTGCGCCTCCTGCAGTTTGCTTTCCCGCTGGGCCCACCGCTTCTCGAATTCCGGCTCACAGCCGTCCTTCACGGCGAACCGATTCATCACCTTGTAGAAAGGGATGATTTATAAAATGCATGCAGTGAACCTGAAAACTTCATACAGAGGATAGCCGAGCTATTCTTCGCGAAGTGTAGTCTCGAGTCCAGCACAGGTCCAAGCCGTCCAACTCCAAGCGAAAGAAGTCAAACCTGAGATCTCGGCGATGAACACCTTGGAGTCAGCCGCATCTGCCGCCTTTCGCAGCGCATTAAGCTTGACGGTCATGTCAAGCAATAGCTTCAAGAACCTTGGGATGCTGGAGCCTTGCTTTCCAAAAGCATCCCATCCCAATTCGCAGGCTTCGGCGGCCCTGTCATGGTTGCGACACCATTTACTGCCTCAGCGAATTTTTAAGCCGCACTGACTAGGGGAGCACCCGCACAGAAACCACGACGAAGGCACGAGGACCGCGAACCGAACCAGGAGAACCAAAGCACCCGCCCAAAAGCCGCAGCGAGGAGCGGACAAGATGGAGGCAGGACGCAAGGAATATGTGCAGGACATCCAGGCGATGAGGGATGTGGACAGAGGGCGACACCGAGGGCAAGAAGACGCTGTCGCAGTTGATGATCTCTGAAAGAGCATGGCATGTTACTCGAAGTTCACTTCTCAATGTCACCATGCCATGCTTCCACCGAGTGCGATGCCATCTTTGTGAAGCTTGCTTTGCCTTCTGTCACATCTGGTTCCTGCGAAACACTTTGCGACTGCAGTGTTCTACCTGGCCCAGCTCAATGAATGGATGTGAATTCATGCTGGCTTCCAGAGCCAAGCCACATTAGGACGTTCAGCTGAAAGCGCCGCATCAAACTGTGTCTTCGTATCCCAAACGCTGAGTGAGACATAGGTGTAATCCTTACAACAGCAAATCATCAGCATCTTAGTATCTGCTGCATCAAGCGGTACAAACCAAGCACCACGTGTGCCCAAGATTCATCTTCAAACTGCTCGTCATCGTAGTTGTATACAACCTTGAACCGTGTCGCACGAAGGCAATGTACACGTGACTAGAATCGAAAAGCTGGCTTCCAACATGCCAGGTTGTCGTGGCGCCAGGCATGGAATTCAATTCGTGATTGCTCTTGCGCTCCCTACATCACCCTATTCGTGCACCATGCATTTGCAACTTCGGCACGACTTTCGTTTGTTCATACAGGTGCAGCCAAGATCAATCAATGTTGCACTGACCTGCACTGACCATAAGGATCACAGGAAAATGTCGTGTTTCATTTGTGGGAAATGCTGTATGCTCGAACTTTCGGCCCCGCCACAGCGTGCAGCTAAAGTCAACTCAATGTCAGCATGTGAAACAATGGCTGGTTCCCTTTCGTCTCGGGGCTTTCGCCCCCGTCCTCAAGCAGCTCTCCGCAGGCTCCACTTGATGAGACCATATGAGACCCAGCCCGAGTGCTGGTTTTTCGCTTGTCTTGATTCAAGTTCAAACGCCTTCGGTCCCGTGTTGCCCTCATATTGGACCTTCTCTTGGACTTTGCAGAAACTTGAGGAGCAGGCCATGGACAACAAAAGCTGAGTACTCTGACAGTCCGCAAGGCGCTTATGTGAGTGGAACTCCAAACTCGACTGCTCGACTGACAGCCAGCTGGCAGAGAGCGCTCCCGTCGACTTAGGTGTGCTTGGCACTCGTCGTAGAAGGCAGAACCAGCGAAATCCATCCAAGCCTCGATTTAAGGTAACCATGAGCAGCAGTTGAACAGTGCCGCAATTCTCGCGTGTCTTGTGTCGTTGCACTGTAACCAATTCAGCGCCAGCAGCCTGCAATTGTAGAGTCAGCGCTACCCCAGCGCTGCTCAAATTGGGCTTCGCCACCTTCTCTGATTCGATATCGATTCATCGCCTCACGGTCGGGAGGACTCTTGCATGTGGAAAAAGACAGGACCTGCCCACACTGCATGTCCACGCATGCACTAAGAGCTTATGCAGCAGGTGGCAATATATCGCTCTCCTTGCAATAACAAGGGGCGGCTGCACAGGCTGCAAAGCTAAACATTGGGACCGCCGTTGCATATCACCACGACAACCTGCACACTACATACTCGAGAAATGTCAACAGTCCTTGAAGAAGTCCATCGAACTGCCTGCAACACGTTCGTCAGCGTGAAGGCTGGGCTGGGCTAGTGAGTCAAACTTGACAACCTCTGCACGTCAGCAGCGGTCGTTGCAGACGCGGCCACTGCCACATGTTGCAGCAAGCCTTTGCCTCAAACAGGCACGCAACCGCTGAACGCCAAAGAACCCGAAGAGTTGCACATGGGGACAAGAGCTGCAGTGTGCATTCTTCCGATCGACGCAAGCATGTGCTGTACTAGCTGCTTCGGCAGCTGTCACGACTGGTGGTAGTACTGAGCGAAGTGAAGCATAGCTTCGTCAACCCGGCAGTGGCGATGCCACAAACGATGACCTGAGTGCAAGCGTCAA